CGTTCAAAATATGTTTGCACATGCTCACGGGTTGTCGCTAGCTCTTCTTCGGAGGCCGTGATGTCGAGGTTGCTGATGATCAATCTTTCGGCGGAGGGAAAAGGCGGGAGAAGCGTCGACACAAACAATTTTTGGCGCGAAGGCAATTTTTCGCTTTCCCCCGTACCAAGAAAAAGGCAGAAGAGGAGCTTGCGAAAGGTCCCCTTGTTGGTTCTCACTTACGAACTGGTTTCAACAGCCAATGTGACGCTGTCGGCGAGGTCCTTGGCCTCTTGCTTGTCGATGCCCTGGTGGTTTGGTGGTCAGCACTGGAGTGTTGTTGGCCTGTCCGCACAATGGGGAGGTGGTACCATTCGCCCGCGCCAGTGCTCGGGGACCATGCTGCCGTGCTCGATGTAGTTGTCCAGAAGCTTTTCCACCTGCTGCTCCGTGATGAAGCCAAACCAGTCGCCACGAGGATACACCACAACAACGCCTGAAGCGCAGCGCATAACATCGCCATGTCATGAGCTTCCCCATCAGCGGTGTGCAGGCCACCATCGCACAGACGTCGTACCGGCGTATTTGTGGCCGCCCAGGTGCGAGCTGCTGCGGACCATGACCTTGTCTTCTCCGAGGCCTCGCGCGGCCAACAGCCGGTCGAAGGCAGACACGATGATGGGACCCTAGGGCGAAGAAGGAGGAGAAGAAGAAGAACGCGCATGAGCTTTCGCAAGGCGTGAGGCATGAAGGTGGCACACACCTCAGCGCCGCAGCGAGTGTCCCTGTTGTTGTGACAGCATACGAGCACCAGCTCGCTTTCGAAGGGCTCGTGCTTGACTCGCTCGCTAACGTGGCCATTCACCAGGTGATCTTCAACGATGAACTGACAAGTACCGATCGGCGGATGAGGATCAGCCCCACTGCCAAAGAAAGACGACTCAGCAAATGGGCGGGATGAGCGCGCACCGGCATGGTCTCAGCCGTGACGCCAAGGTAGCGAATCCGCTCTGTACGAGAGGAGTCAGGTAACACACGACACACGACACACGGCACACACGACACACGCACAGAAAGGTCACCTGGGAACACGATCAGGTCGGTGCCTTCGGACCCCTTGCTCCTCTCGTCCGAGTTCGTGAGCTTGAACTTGAACGTGAGCTCGGCCTTCCTCGCGGTGATGGCCTGCTTGGCCAGCTGTGCGAAGGAGCCCTCGTCCTTGTCGATCTTGGCACCCCACTCGTCGGGCTCCGTGCCCGAGCAAATGATGAAGTGCTTCTCGTACTTCTTGACGGTGCCCAGCAGCTGCGAGTTGTAGAGCGACGCAGAAGATGACGATGCCGGGGCGCATCCGCCTTGGGCCACCGTCAATCCACACTCGCACGTCTCGGCAGCGGCAGAAGATGAAGTGGCTGCAGGGGCAGTTGCATGCCTGGTGCCCAAGTAGTAGGCACCAAGAAGTACCGCACCCGCACCAGCAAGCGCAGTCAACTGAACAATCTTTGTCTTGTCGTCCATCTGTGGTTCCGCGGCAATCAAATCTCCAAATAAAGATTGAAAATAAAAAGTATTATCGCACGCGCTACACGACGGCTCGCTGTTCACCTTCTTCGCCCTTCACGAAGAGAGCTCAACAAGAACGCAACAATGCTTCGTTACCACTTCCTGCCGGTGTTGCCGACGTCACGCATCTGAAGCTGCTCCTCCCTCTTCTTCCTCTCCTCCTCGGCCCTGTCCTTGGCCTTCTTCACAGCGTCGGCGTACAGCTCCTTGAAGTACTGCGGGCCTTTCTTGTTCATGGCCGCCACCCAGTTGCGCACATCGGGCACTCCGCTCTGCGACTTGGACGAGGCGGCCAACACTGTGTATTGGAAGAAGCAAGGTGAGCGTGTGGCACACGTTAACGTTGATGCACATTTGTTTAACGAGAGAGAGAAAGACGTACGCCGGAAGAAGTTGAGCATCTCCAAGAGGTAGACGTCTTCGAGCCTGCCGTCGTACTTAGGGGCCACGATGAGGTTCTCCTTCTGCACCACGTGATCCGGGCTGATGTCCAAAACGATCGTCTAACGCACGCACGCGCAGTAAGTAAAATGGCGGACATGGGCGAAGGCCAAAGATATATCCTTGTGAAGTACCTTGTCCAATGGTCTGTTGAGGAACTTGAGGTCCTTCACGTTCATGCCCTCGGCATTGACCACCGTAGCGTCGACGTAGACCCGGTGCGCCGCGTGATGGTTCGGGTCCAGCTTTTCGATGACGGGGCCAAAGCTCTGTTACGCACCACGCGGTGAGTCCCTCTGGACGTCGCCAACACAGACAGCTGTTGCGTACCATGACTTGCTGCAAGCTCCAGATGACGAGCTCGTAGTCTTGGCTGAGCTGGGCCAGGAAGAACTCAACGCCAGGGCGCTTCTTCGTCAGCATACCGCCGGAGAGCGGCTGATATTCTTGCACGAGCAGGACGTCGTCCGAGATGACCACTGTGATGGGCTTGCCATACGGAGGAGGGTGAGCGTCTGGCAAGATCTTCTTGTTCTCGTCGATGTTGAGCAGCTTGTTCGTCTGAGCCGTGAACTTCTTCTTGAGGTTGGCAAAGAGGCCAGCCTCCTCGCCCTGCAGCCACAAGAGGTACGGTTATACACCAAGCCACACATTGGAGCGGCCAAGGCCAAGAGAAAAGAGGTATGGCCACCGTACCTGGTTGCCACCCTCAGCAGCGTAGACCACACCTTCAATAGAAGAAGAAGAAGAAGAAGAACAAGAGAAAGCGCGGTTTGTGAGTAGAGGGGATGACATGGGGCGAGGGACGCTTGGTACCGGTGACGCCACCAACGGCAGCAATGAGTACGCCAATAGCGGTGATACGTGCCCTGCCGCTGCCCGAAGCTTGGACGCCCTCGGCGGTGGTCGAGGCGAATCTCTGCTGCAGGGGCCGGCCTATTATTGTAGGGAGGATGATGATTTTTCATTTAGATCGTCTGGGGTGGTGAAATGTTTGGCGCTTTGGGGAGGTACCCGCAAGACCGAGGGGTTTGGTCGTGCGAGCGAAGAGCCGTGCTGTGGAAGGAGTTGCGAGGGAAGCGCTGCGGGTGAAAAGAGGGGCAGCAGATGATGTGGCGCACTTAAAGAGCGATTGAGATGAGAATGAAGCCGCTGCCGCTGCGCCGGAGGTCCGCACGCCTGACATCGCAGCGTAGCTACGTGGAGTGCCTGATGCGATTCGCCTCATCGTAGCTTGCCTTCTGTAGATATACGCGTAGATCGAGATGCGCAGATGCAGAAAATGTGCCCCACCTCAAGATTCGAGGTACGACTTTTAGTCGACAATGCCCCCAATGCCGGAAAAATGTAGGATTGTAGTTCTTGTGCTTGCAGGAAGACAGCCTGCTTCGTCTTCTTCACCACCATGCCTGCCGCCACACTTCGTGCCCTTGTAGAGAACTACATCGCTTCCCATTTTTCAGATGGTGCCTTCTTCTCCTTTGGTCTAGCAGGGAGAATGGTGGGGTGGTGCCGGGCTGACAGGCATTGCATCGCGTGGGGGGGGGCAAGCAGTTGTGGGTGCTACACAAACGGCGGACTGGACCGACTTGCCGATGGAGCTGGTACGTACCCTTGCACGTACTACTCTCTGTCTCCCTGTCTGCTGATGCACAAACACCTTGCTTGCGCTCTGGTCAGTTGGTGGGGGTAGTGCATGGTGGAGGGCGCGTCACTGGCAAAGCAGCCCTGGCGCTTGACGTAGCGGAGGTACTGCCCACGGAAAGGCGCGGCCCGTACTGGCAGAGCCTGTGCGCTGAGCGGTGGCCTGGTGGAGCGAACTACCCACCAGAGTGCAATTACGAGAGCAACGCCAGGGACTACCACAAGCGACTCTACCTCACTTATCGCACCATCGGTACTGGCTCGCTTTGGGCTTGATCCAGTTCACGTGCTTGCACCCGATCCTGATCATACATCACCTGTGCAGATCTTCTCCATACGATCGAGCAGTTTGGGATCCAGCACGTTGAAGCGGAGCTGACTGCGATGGAACCCTACGTCAGTTACATCAAGTGCACCTCCGCCACGGCAGGTAGGCCAACGAAAAACGTGGAGCACCACAGCACCAACGCTCACCTCACACAATTGTTCACCGCACAGTGGCACAGGCACCGTTGAAGCGACTAGGTCGTGTGGAGACCTTGGAACTGAACAGGTGCAATCTGGGCCGCTGTTCGACCATGCCTGGCCCCCTTGAAAACCTCACTGATGCTCTCGCCACCGGGCTTCCCCGACTGAAAAGCCTCAATCTCTCTCGGAACGCGCTGGCAGACGCCGATGTGCTCTATCTGTGCGGAAGTACGCACACGCGCGAGCGCAACCTTCACACACGCCACCCACACGACTCACACACTTTGTGACTACAGTCATTCTTGCCCGGCGGCCAAGCATCGAGCACCTTGATCTGACGTGGAATCGAGTGACCGACACCAGGTAACACTGTTCATGAAGTGGCCGCAGCCCACCACAACTCACCACGGCTCCGCATGTGGCTTCGTAGTCTAAAGGAGGGCATTGGCCGACTGATTGCCGAGACGGACATCACGCACATGGAGCTCGGCTTCAACGACACGTCTGCCGGTGGACGCGCAGCGTGCATGGACATTGCGAAGCGGCGAAACAAAGAGGCCTCAACATCCCCATCGCGGCCCAAGGTCCGGGTGGCATTCACCTGAAGAGCTGTAGCGCATGAACAACGATTCGAAGTTATGGGTGTGGTGGTGGTGGTGGTGGTGGTGATGGTGGTGGTGGTGGTGGTGTTAGCGGAGGATCTGCTGGAGAACGGCGCGGGTGGTGGCGTAGAGCGGCGGGAGGCCCTCGTCGACGCGCATGGCCTGGGAGAGGTTGGAGTCGGTGTGGAGCGGGAGGTCGCTCACGAAGTAGATGAAGCGCATGGCCAGGTCGTCCCGCAGGAAGGCCAGCTTCTTGTACTTGTTGACCTGGCCCGCGTAGTAGCTGCCCTCCATCTCCAGGCTCACGCAGCTCCACAGCCGCTGGTAGAAGTGCAGCAGATTCCTGTCCTGCAGCAGCGTGCCCGGCACCGTCAACACACTGCACCCCCCCCCCAACACCAGTTAGGCGTGTGCGTGTGCGGTTGTGTGTGGTGTACGCGTGTGCGGTGGGCGTACCCGCCGGGCCACACGTCGCGGCCGCCGGCCAGGGCGCGAAGGCTCTGTACGGAGAGGCCCTCGTTGCGGATCTCGGTGACCGAGTCGTCCTCCTGGAGGATGAGGTGGGTCGCCAGGATGATGTCGCCTCGCTTTCCCTGCAGCCCTCCTACGCGCGTGCGGCGCAGTCGTCAGCTCGGCGCCGTGTGTGTGTGTGTGCATGTGTGACGCTCAGTAGTTGAAATGGGCGAGCTACGAACCGGCCTTGCCAAGCACGTTGACGGAGCGGATGGCGTGGCCGAAGAGCAGGATGAGGCAGCACAGGACGTCGCCCGCCTGCCGGCCGAACGCGTAGTCGATGTTGACCAGAAGCCGGCGCTTCTTCTTGGCGCCTGGCTGCTGCTCCTGGCGCTGGCCCACGTAGTCCCGCAGCGACGAGTCAATGCACTCCGGGTTCAGCTTCGACAGATCGATCAGATTCACCTGCAGCACCGCTCTGGTGAGCTTGTGCTCACAACATGACACACGCACCACCGCACGCGCACACACCTGAATGCCGGTGAATTCGGTTTCCTTGACGGTGACGAGGCCGGACTTCTTCTCCTCCTCCTCGCGCTCGAGCATGAGGTCGGGGAAGGCCTTGAAGTAGTAGTAGGACAGGACGTAGAACTTGTCGTCCTCGTTGAGGTTGAGCTGGTCGATGTGCGGGACGGGCTTCTCCCGGGCCACCCAGGCCATGATCTCCGGTTTCTTGCGGTGCAGGTAGGGCGACAGGCAGTTGATCACCGAGTGCGTGTTGCTGCTGATGATGTCCACCTCGACCTCGCACTCCTCCTCCTCGTCGTCGTCGTCGCTGACATCGTCGACGGCGGCGTGTGGCTTGTTATCGTCGTCGTGGGCCTTATTCTTCGTCTTCTTGTCTTTGGCCTTGTCCCGCGGCTCCCGGGGGCTGCTCCTCCGCGCAGCGTAGTCCTCGTTCTCCAGGTACCTAGCATCCAGAGCCGTCAGCCTCTTCGCATTGGGGGGGGGGAGAACGAAACGAAACAAACCGAAGCGTACTTGGAGCAGTGGAGGTTGATCTTCTCGCCCTGCACGGCGGTGTGGGAGTCGAAGGGTCCGATCAGCCGCACGACCTCCTCCTGCACAATGCGCGTCCTACAGCGCAACACGTCAACATTTCGTCAATGAAGCGAATGCGCACGCACGCGGGGCTGGGGATGGTGGTTTGGCCTATACCAGCGCTCGGTGGCGTCGGAGGCCCAATGCGTCGAGAGATTGACTGAGATGTTGTAGTCCTCGTGGTGAATGATCATGTCCCAGATTCTGTCTCACACGCGAGAGCGTGCAGGTCAGTCACAGAAGGTATGGCTGAGTAGAAACATCGTTGCTCTCCAATGCAAACAGCGACGCACCGGTGGATGAGATCGTCGGGCCACATGGCCTTCAAGCCCGCCTTCTCCTTCTCGCTCAGCGACAGCTGGCCACACACACACACACACACACACACACACACACACGCACACACGCACACGCACGCACGCACACACAACACAAGCGTGAGTGCCGTGACTCGAGATCTAAACCTCTACAGCCATCGAGGTGTGCAGGTACCTGGGAGAGGATGGCGTCCTGCTCCTGCGGCGTCTCCTTCTTGTCGAGGAAGCCGTAGGGCGACGGCGGGAAGCCCTGCCCGAGCTCCTCCTCGTCCTTCTTCGTAGTCCCGTGGCCGGGCGTGCTCACCGACCGGTGCTTGTCGTGTCCGTGAAGCTTCGGCTTCACCTTTGGCTTCTGCGGCGACAGAGTGCTGGCGGCAGAGGCAGCGGCGGAGGCAGCGGCGGCGGCGGCGGCGGTGTGGTCCTTCTCGTGCTTCTTTTCGTGGGTCTGGTGGCGGTGAAAGTCTTCGATGCGCTGCTGACGCTGGACGCGCTTCTCCTGCTCGCGTTGCTCGAGGGCGTGAACCTGCTCGGCCTTGCGCAGCACAAAGTCCTGAATGATCCGGAACGACTGCGGCGAGGCGATGCGCTGACGCAGCTTGCGGGCCTCGAGAGCGTGCAGACACAGCATGGAGAGGAAGTCGATCACGTCGGTGTAGTCCTCGCGGATGAGCATCAGCGACTTGCCGTCGCCCAATCGGAACACCGCCCGCCGTCGGCCCACTGTGGGCAGATTTGAAGAATGCGCGTCAGCCAAAGGAATGTGAGTTCGATCGAAAGGGAAGATAGGTAGGCGCATACCAGTCGGCACCATGTTGACGAGCAGGCCGGGATGCAGGTAGATGTCGGGGATCGATGACGACAGCAGAAACACGAACGTCTGGGTCACGTTCTCCGGCAATCTGCGTTGTGCGCATGGACAATCGGGGCGTCAAGAGATTGTGTGTGTGTGGGTGTGAGTGAGTGTTCTGGAGTACCGTCGTATGGCATAGGCCCAGCCGCCGGTGTCGATTTCGTCGCGGTCCATCTTGCCGTGTATGGCTGGCTTGAGCTGCACTCACAACACACGCACCCGGTCAGGATGCAGGCCAGTCTCTTCTTCTTCCCCTTGTTCGTCTCCTCCGGATGCGTGTGTACCTTGCGGTAAAGTGCAAGGGTGGCGGTGAAGTCCATGCGCTTGGTGGTGACGGAGTCGGCGATGTGCGTGATGAAGGCATTGATCGACGAAAAGAGCTTTTGCTTGTTGCGCAGAGTGCGGATGAGCACGTACTTGAAGCTCTGAGCGTTCATCCGCCGCCGATCAGATTTTGGCCACACACACACACACACACACACACACACACACACACACACACACACACACACACAAGGCTGCATACCTGGTAGGAGAGTAGATCGAGGAATTCCTGCTCCTGAAGCACGTAGACCACTGACTCGCTGCCTGCAAGAAGCTCCGCCACCCGCTCGGGCACATCGAACAGACACTCCCATTCCCCGAAGTAGGCCGGGGCACCTACACACGACACACAGCACACAACACACGACACACGTGAGCCAGATTCATGCCCCGAGCTGGGCGAGAGTGGGCGGGAGCGTACTGTAGTATTGGAGGAAGCGCGGCAGAGACTCGGACACGTCGATGGCCATCACTTGGCCGGTGCACAGCAGGTACACCTGGCGGTCCCTGGATTTCTGTCTCGTGATGACGTCTCCCTCTGGTGACGGACGCGTGCGTCAGTGGTTGGCTTGCGCAATACACCGCACGCACGCCGCACGCACAACACGCAACACGACACGCGATGCCACACCACAGAGAGAGGCGTGGAGTGGGCACCTTTGAAGACGAGACGCTGGGCCTTGGCGGCTAGCCGCCACCGTACGGCGCCAGGGAGGAAGCTGAAGGGCGACGTGCGGGACAGCACGTCCGCCGCCTCCGCCTTGCGCCGCTTCTTCTCCTCCGGCGGCAGCTCCTCCGTTTCGCGCTGCTGTCCGGTGACGAAAAAGATATAATAATTATTTTTACTGGCGTTATTAAAATAATAATTATTATTAATTGTGGGGCATAGCATTGCCGATTAATATTTATAAAAAAGCGTACGTGGTGCAGGAGGCCCTTGAACTTCTCAACGGCCTTGAGGACGTTGCTGGCGACGACCAGGCTTTCGAACTTCTTGTGGAGCGCAGTCTGCAGCTGCTTCTGCGCCTCCTTTTCCTCCATCTTTTCGGCGATGGGCAACCGCCAGTCGATGTCGGTCATCTGCATCTGCATCTTGTTCGGTTTGCTCTGTCTTGCGTGCTCCTCTCCCTCAGTGCCTCACTGTCCTATGCTTGAGTACACTGCCGCTCACCCCCCCCCATTGCCAGTAGCAGCTGAGGTGGAATTTCTATTGAGCGTCAGCCAAAAGTGCGCGACTGCCCACCGAACCCAGGACCAACCTGCTCCATCGCATTTTTAGAATTCCTTTCTATCGACCACTAATTACACGGAAGCATGGTCGGATTCTAAAGAATGTGATACATAATGATGCCGGTGCAAACGCGCGGGGTGAGCTCTTAGTCGATGGGCTTGAGCTTGAGGGAGCCGATGCGGATGAGCCACTGGATGTATTCGTTGTAGGTGATGCGACCCGAACCGTCCGAGTCGAGCTCCCTGAAGCACTGGTCGAAGGTCTTAGTTGTGAGGCCGTGCTTGGTCAGATCCGCGTGCGTGTGCCTGCGCGATCTCTAGCGTCAGCCAGCAAGCACACATGTGTTATGCACGCAACACGCACACACGACACCGCACACGCAACACGCACCTGAACTCCTCGGCGTTGAGGCAGCCCGAGTGGTCGCGGTCAAAGTGCTTGAAGTAGTCAGCGCAGCGGGTAAGCACCGCCATCTCGTCCTCCGATAGCTGCAGGTTCTGGAACCGGTTGTCGGTCCTCCACCACTTCTGGAATTCGTCGTAGGTGATCGAGCCCGAGCCGTCCCTGCGCGAGCAAAGAAGATGAAGATGGATTGATTGACAGCGTGAGCCTCAATTAAAAGAACAACACCTGGCCTGGGTGTGTGTTAGAGAGGAAAGGGGTACTTGTCGATCATTTTGGCCGCGTGCTCTGCCTCGGCCGGCGTCAGGTAGTGGCCCATCGAGTAGCACTACATGAATTACGAGTAGCGCAACATTAAACTGACATTCATCTTTGTTTGTAAATGATGAAAGAGGAACCAACCAGGTCATGGAACTCAGATCTGGAGATGCAGCCACTCTTGTCCTTGTCATGCTTGTTGAAGGCAATCCTCGACACCGTGAGACCACCACCGCCTCCTCCGTACATCTTGTTGGTTGGGTTGATTGCTTACGGCAACTGAACAGGCGTTGTGTTACCAAGGCCCCACTAATCGATTTCAAGCCAATGGCTTTGAATTCTTTACACCGCAAACGCTCGCCACTCGTTTTCATTCAGGGGCAGCAGTAGTGGCTGTTGTAGATCAACTAGCAGTAGTAGAGGCCGCAGCCTCCTCGCTCGTAGAAGAGGTGCTTGTCGGTGGAGAGGTGCACGCGCGCGCCGGGGAACTCGGGGACGGCCAGTAGCGCGGACTGCATGGTCTTCTCCACAACCAGCTGCAGCCGCGGGGCATTTGATGCTCGCAGGAATCGCACAATGCCCTCCGCCGTCACATGCCCCACCTTCGCCAGTCCTGGTGTTCGTCACTGTCAGTACGCACATACACGACACGACACGACACGACACGACACGACACGACACGACACGACACGACACGACACGACACGACACGACACGACACGAACCTAATCGCTCCACGGAAGAAGGGATATGCTGAGGAGGCCCACGTCGGTGACGCCCTTGGCTCGCGAGACGCGCAGGCTCACGAGGCTGGCGGGGAGGAAGGCCAGGCCCTCGTCCTCGAACATGCCGCCCACAATCTGGAGCGACACCAGGCCGAGGTCCTTGAGCTTGCGCATGCCCTCGTTGGACAGGTTGACGTGAAACAGGTTGAGGCGGGTGAGGTGGCGCAGCAGGCCGATGTCCTCCAGGCACTTGTCGTTGTACATGAACCGCTTACGCTCGTCGGGCACGTGGCCCGGGTGGAGCGACAGCTTCTGGAGCGAGGGCGGCAGGCGGCTGGTGGGCACCAGCTTCTTGAGGGCCGACAGGTAGAGGGTCTTGAGCTGCGGAAACTTGTGCTTGATGCGGTGGAACTGATGGCTGGTGATGCTCGTCTCCTGCAGTGAGAGGACCTCGATCGATGGCGGCAGCTCCACCACACCTGCCGTGACCATCGTGATTTCAGACACTACACACCATCGACAGAGAGTAAAACTTTGCAAGTAAATACCTTTGTCTGTAACCGCTGTGTTGCTCAAGTAGATGGCCTTGAGTGAAAATGGAAGGTACTCGATGCTGGCATCTGTGATCTGAGTGAACCCGCAATCCAGCGATGCTAGACCTGTTGGTTGAGATATTTTGGTTCCAAAACATTCGATCAGCGATGCACCACGCACATCCACAAACATGGAATGAATGAATGAATGAATGAATGTGGCTTTGTGTTCTGACGCTCGAGCCATACAAAGACGGCGTCGAATACGCTCGCACAAGGCCTGACAACAGAGAATTCGCTCTATGCCGACGCTTAGACGCGCGAAGTGATCCTTTCCTTCACACGCTCTGTCCCGGCAAACAGAACACGCACACGCACGCACGCACGCACGCACGCGCCACCGCACACGCACAACAACAGCACGTGCCTTCGGGGATGTCGGTCAGCATAGAGTCCACGACGGGGCAATTACGAAGGCAGAGCTCCTTGAGGTTGGGGCAGCTGGCGAAGATGAAAGGAAGGCATCGCCGGATCAGCTTCTTCGGCTTCGTAGGCGGCAGAATATAGGCGCCCACCGACGCCAGCCCCAACTACAGACAGCACACGCATCGGATACGCGCATCGCATGAGCTCATGCGGTGATGAAGAGAACGCGGGTTGAGGGGAGGAGGAGCCTTGTACCTTGCGCCAGAAGCGAGAGGCGAGGAGGACGGAGGACAGGGACGCGAAGATGCAGACTTGTCCCTCTGGATTCCGCTGCTGACGCGCCACGAAGCCCAAGATGTGCATCCACAACTCGACCGGTAGGTCGTACGTTCCCGATGCCCTTTCATCTACTTCTTCATTCTCGTGATCCTCGTAAGGCGCGCTTGCCCCGCAATTCATGTCTTCCATCATCGGCTTGATTTCGCCTCTGTCTTGCTCATCGCGAACATAGGCTGCATCTTCTGCATCGGTAGGATCGCTCCCGTGGGTGGTCGCTTTGTTTTCCCACATCCCAGGAATTACTGATGCTGATGCTACCAATGCAGAAGATGCAACGCTCGCTGTTGTGAATTGAGACAAGAGGACCAGCATCTGGCCCATTGTGGCTCGTAACTCGCGCATCTCTAGCCGCATCTCGGCCATCTCTCGCTCCAGTCCTTCGATCTTTGCGCCCAGGCCATCTTCCATCAGTCGGGCTTTTATTTTTCTTTTAATAACACATTTTTGCGTAAGACGTATTTTTATCCCGCTGGTGAAAGAAGGGAAATCGAAAGAGAAAAGAAAACAAGAAAGCCACCGTGCGGCTTGTTTATCACTGATCGGGAGGAGGAAGGTGGTGGACAGGCAACTGATGGAGCTTGGGACAAGGCTCGTTCTCGCGCTTGACGCTGATGTGCAGGTTGCGTCGGGCGGCGAGCTTGCGATCGACGTCGACGGCGCGCAGGGCGGCGTGCAGCTCCTCGTCGAGTACGAGGTAGCGCAGGTTGGTCGCCGACTCGAGGAGGAAGCTGAGCAGGCCCGGCCCGGTGAGCTTCTCCATCTTGATCAGCGCCATGCTCTGCACGGCCAGCGGCAGGCCACGGAGCCCGGCGTCGGTGATGGTCGGCACGCTTTCGAGCATGAGCGAGATGAGCGTCGGCGGGAGGTAGCGCATCCCGTCGTCCGAGAGCTTGGCCTGCCTGATGACCAGATGTCGCACGCGTGTCTCGGCGAGCCTGTTATTGGGCAGAGGTGAGATGAACATGTCAGAGTGCGAACCTGAACAATGCCGGTGGTGGTCATCAGCGACGTACGTCTGCTTGCTGCTGTTGGTAATGTTGCATCGCGAGATCTCGAGGATCTGCAGGTTAGGCAGCGGAAGGAGCGTGGCGATCACGTTATCGTTCCAGAGGTAGTTCTTGTCTCCGATGGAACCCACGTGTAAGCGAAGACACTCGATCGAGGGCGGCAAGAAGGCCGTCACGTTCGTCACCTGTTGATAACCCGATCACCAGGTTCGAGTTAGAACACCGAACTCTTGCAGCACCTGCAGTTCTGAAAGAAGGGATTGCACCTGGGCAGAGAGGGTGAGCTTTCGCAGGCGCGTAAAGCGTTGAGCCATCTTCTTGGCGCTGATGGGTGAAATGATGACTTGCCGCAGCGAAAGGGTGTCCAACCGAGACGGCAGGTCATTGAAACCATTGTCTGACGGGTTTGTCGTGAGTAGGAATCGCAGAAGTAGCTGAGTGCATAACACCAAAAGCTATGGCAGTACCTGTGATGGCCATGTTGTCTATAGACAGAGCCTTCAGCGACAGCGGAAGGTACTCCAGCGCCTCCTCGGTGATCTGCGTGAACCCACAGTCGAGAAGTGTGATTCCTGCACGACGTCGAGAGCGCATGAGCTCAGCACGCGTGAAACAGAAATGACAAGAGGTCGTACGCTCAGGCAAGTGGTAGAGCATGGAGTTCACGATGGGACAGTTCCTCACGCGCAGCGACCGTAGATTGGGGCAGTTGCCAAAGAGAAAGGCGAGGCACTTTCTGGCCAGCTTCTTGGGCTTCATGGGCGACATTGTGTAGGAGGTCACCAACGACAAGCCGATCTGTTGTACGGGCAAGGGTCAAAAAGCAAGTTAGTGGAAGGAGCTGATGAAGAATCGTTGGTGTAGATTTAGCGTTTACGAACAAAATAAATCCAAATAAAGCGATCGAAGCGGGTGCGTACCCTTCGCCACAGCTTGCAAGTAAGTAGGGTAGCGCTGAGTGATGCGAAAGGAGATTTCTTAGCCAAGACGAAGGACAAGATGTGCGTCCACACTTCGACAGGTAGTCGCTGCAGGAGGTAGCAGTCGCTCTCAACCTCCGCCTCGAGCACATCCTCTCTGCCCACGTGCCCATCCTCAAACTCCACCCGACGGCGCTTACCGCTGCGCTGTCGCATCGTGTCCGTCCTCGTCCTCCTCCATAAGCTCCTCTTCGTCTTCAATTTCATTCATCTTCAAGCTACCTATTCCGTTCAGGCCCTCCAACGACTTACGAAGTTGTGGAAGTCTCTTGGGCGAGGAGATTCCCTCGATGTCGCGCTCTCGTTTGAACGCCCTTCGCTGCTTTGTCCCCATTCGCATGTCATCATCCGAACCTTCGGTGAATGAGAGCGCTTTGCTGCTGGGCGAGAAGTGTCGTCCTGGCGTGCCTGTGTCGATGGAAGCGGAAGACGTGGATAGCGAGGAGGTGGGAAGATGGGCAGTTGTAGAAGAAGAGAGCAGTTGAAACAAATCCGTCAAGCGCCGATCGAGCAGCGATTTCACATCAGCCATTTCTTGCTTGAGTTCTACCATTTGTGCCTCCAGACGGTCGATCTGGGACTGCTTTGTGTTGGCCTCATCATCCCTCTCCATCTCTCAATCTTTGCGTTACTTCTGGGCGCTTCAAGGCAAGTCGCCAAGGTGCGGCCAACCAAATCGGAAAAACAGGCGGTTTCAGAACAGTCTTGAAAATTTCGTAACATGCCTTTTCTATTGGTCGGCGGTGTGGTCGAGCAGAAGCTGGGCGCAGAGGCCGAACGTGAACGAAGGGTCGTCGAGGTGGTAGAGGCCCAACATGTCGGTCGTGTGTCGTATGGCCTCCTGCTTGCGCTTCATCTGCCGCTTGAAGTGGGCCGACGACCGGTTGCGCTCCTCGATGAGCCCGGCCTCATGCTGGACGCGCGCCAGCAGGTAGTGTGTCTCGATCTGCTTGTCGACGTCCTGCAGCGGCCTGTAGCACGCGAGCGCCTTCTCAAGGAGACCCAGCACGTCGACCACTGCCGAGACACGAGAGATCACGCTCGTGAGTTCTTCTTCTTCTTCTTCTTCTTCAAGCTATACAGGCCTGCGCCTGCGCTGGTCGTACCGTGGCCTTGTTGCGGCTTCAGCATGTACAAGTGACACTTGGCCATGAGCAAGAACGTGTCAGCTCTGTCAACAAAGATAGGTGAGGAATGAAGCGAAGGTGAAGACGAAAGGTTGAGTTGGTGGGTTGGGTGGAGGAAACGCACTTGACGTGGAGAGGGCAGTGCTGCATCACCTGCGGGAGCACGGAGTGTAGGGAGGTCAGGGCCTTCTGGGCGTTCCCCAGCTGTAGGTGGATCTCGGCCAGGCGCACGGTGGACATGACGAACAAGTTATCCAGGTTGAGATTCTCCGACTGCGTGAGGCAGCTGAGCACGGAGGTCAAGGCAGCCACCGGATTTCCGGACTTCTGGTGGATCTGTGCCAGCGTCAGCAGGTAGGCAATGCTCTGCACCTCCATGTTCTTCTTCTTGCACTTGCCGATGAGCTTGTTCACAACACCAAACGCCTTTATCGTCGAGGAAAGGGATACGAGTTAGGGCTGATTGTCATTGTGGAGTGATGGAGTAAAGACGTGGGCATAGGTACCTCAGACAGCTGTCCTCGAGCGATCATGAGCAGAGCGGAGAGATGCAGGGCCTCTGCCGCTGCTGTCCAGTCCCCGTTCGTAGCAGCCATGGCCTTTGCCTTGTCCACCAGCACTTGGCAGCGCGAGTACTCGCACCTGAAGCGAGGCGTCAACCGACAGTGGGTGAATGCGAGGAAGTGAGAAGGAATGAATCTAAATGATCGCACCTTCGCAGGAACCATTCGTGCAGGATGTGAGCGGCGTGGATGGCCCAATGGTGCCGGGCGCTCCCCACAGGGAATCGCAGGTGAGCCTCGGCGAGCACGCCCAGAGCGCCGTGCATATCGCCCTCCCATGCATGCTGCAAGGTCAAGGTGCCGTTGTCAGTGTGCATGCACTCCTACACAGCGCCAGACGTAGGCATGCGTACCAGCGCAGCTAGATGGCAATACGCGGCGCAAGTGCTCTCAATCTCTGCCTTGTCTCCGTAGTTTTCGAGCACGATCTGCGACGATAGCATAGCGAGCTCCTTGTGCCTAAAGGCAGTACAAGGAACGACATGAGGTCTTGCTCGCCGAACCAGTGGACAAGAGGAAGAACTGCGTACCCATAGAAATCCCACATTCCCATCTTCAGGAAATGGCCTGCGTTCATGAGGTCCGCGAACGAGTTGTTCATGTTGGCAGACATGCTCGCCTCTATCAGTTCCTTGACTCTCAACGGGAACGTGCCCTAGAGAAAACACATCAAAACGCGGGTGAGTATGGGGTTTTCTTCAACGCGTAGTGAGTGTTTGCTGGCGTCGGTACCATGTTGGCTGTCGAAGAGGGCAGGCCTGGAAGTCGAGGTCGGCTTGTAGCATGGAAGAGGTTGTACTTGGCCAGCGCCAGAGAGCTGAGCGAGTAAAGGTGCTGGTTGTGCAGTTCCTTCGCTCGCGCGACGCAGCGTTCGAGTAATTGCTTGAGCTTGTCATCTGCGGCCTTGGTCTCCGTCGCATTCGTCTTTCGCTTCGTGCTCGGCCGGATGCGATCCCGTGTCTGGCGGGCTGAGCGACCTTGTTCGTGTCGGTTCCCTTTCACCTCTTCAGAATTTGTGTCGTTCTCTTCAAAGGCGAAGATCTGGGCCTCCGTCAAGCGGCACAGCCACATAAGAGCGAATGCCAGGCAGTCCTCGTCGTTCCTCTCCTGGGCCACACGCACTGTTTCATGGATGGCCTACAATGTATGGCAGTCAGTGCGTGTGCACTCACAATTGCCCAAGCACCAGAGTAAATGAAAGCTTGGCGCCGCATCGTACATCAAGAGCCTGTTCGTAGTGCCCGAACCGATAGTGCGTCGAAACGAGATTAAGAATTGCGTAGGGCAACGTGCTCTTGGTCTTGATCAGCTGCGCGCTTGACGGATCGTCCGGATCATCCACGACAGAAACCACTTCGTTGTCCTGAAGAAGTGTGAGGATGCGCTGAAGGCCCAGTTGTGGTCGCGAGGCGACAAGATATCGAAGGCATACCCGCATACTAGTGTCAAAGTAGGCATGCAATGAATCCATTGCCCCGTCGTACTCGCGGTGGTGCAGATGGTACAAGTAACTTGTCACAGGAAAAAGGCGTTGGTCAGTTGAGGCGGAATGCGGAGGGCACCCGCGCGGGCTCATTTGGGTGCAGAAACAGGCTTTGTAGGTACCTCAAGTAGTGAGACTTGCCGATGGCCGTGGGTGCAATCTCTTTGATTGCTTCTATCCTTTGCTCAATTTCGTGCTGCGGCGCTCTCCCGATCATCTCTGCCGGTGCAGGGTGTTGAGCGGCGAGCAACTCGTTCGTCAGCCAGAAGAATTGACGTACCCTCTATCTTGGCGGCTTCTTCATGGACGAGCTTTTCCGCTTCGTAAGGTGACAGAACGAACCGTTCCTCTTCATCTATAGTTCGCCATACACAGATCAGCCGCGCTTCTTATCGCATCATTTGCTCATCACTGGAGTGAAAGTGAGGTGATGGACCTACCAGTGGTGCAGTAAGCGACTAGGCTCGAGTACAGACGGGAGAGTGCGGAGAAGGCCATTTTGTCGAACTCGAGGTGCAACCGCCGCATGAAGATGCCCAACAAGCTTGTTTTGTCCTGGTTCATAATGCAGGCAAGAAGATATATCAGCGCAGAGCGTATGCTGAGCTCCAAGAGAAGGAGGGAGCGCACGAT